ATGGAGTTTTGCTAAACTTTTGATTTTGTACCCTGATTGTCTGTCTAAAGAGGAAGTGTGTATAATCCTTTTACCTTTCAATGCTTTTGTTATACGCCCAATCTTAAGGGCTAGGTCTGTATATATATGTGTATAAGCATATAGCTAAATTCTCAGATTCACGTCACTGTATGTTTATTTGCCTTATGTTCCGTTAGTGATCCTGGCATTGTAGTTATAGCTCAATGGAGATAGTTTTCTGTTATTTTAAAATATTAATGCTTCCGTTCAGGCCCCATATCTCATATATATATCAAGTTAAATGTTCGTTTCAGAAGTGGTCATGCCCAAACTTTTAGGGGTGGGTTTGGGGCGTGACAGTTTAGAAATATCTTTTTTAGGCTATCGGGGGAGGATAGCCATGATTGTTGTAGAAACTGCATGAGGATTAGGTAAATTGAAACTAATCCCACGAATTGGGTCATTGAATATGACGATTTGGCTAAATTGTTGAATATGTGGTTTCGTTGGTCATTGTACATGACATCGCATTTAAATACATTGCATATGTATCTTTGTTTGGGAGGAGATATGGTATGTACTCCATTGTTTAGGAGGACATAGGGAATGGACTCCATTGGAAATTAAGTTGGCCGGAGTGCCCAGGGTGAAAGTCCCGAAATCTTGTGTATATGAGTGCCGGTTCCCTCAAATGAGAATTCCGTAAAATAGCAAGGATAGAAGTGTTGATGTGATGAATGTATATTAAATGGTGAATCATTGAGTTGTAGTCTCAATTTGGATTGATTTGATAAAAAATGATCTATACTCATGAATTGATTGGAAGTGAATGAATGGAAACAGATTGAAATGTCAATAACAATGTCGTATGATCATGGAAAGAATGTGAATTATTCGTAAAGGTTGAACATTTAGTTGATGCATATATCTTAGTTAAACTTCATAGATTGTGTTAGCATATTTCTACTGGGTTTTGGCTCACCCTACTTGGGAAACCATTTTCAGGTACAAGTGATATGCCGCCTCCAAGGATATAGCTTGGGAGGACAAGACTGGAGGCTCTACTTTTTTTTATTTTATGTTTATGTGTCTTTCTTTCAAGCCGAGGGCTTTTAACTGTAAAGAGCTTATGACTCTCTTTTGTTGTAACCAAGTTATCACTTGGAAAGATATAGCCCGTAAGGCATTTATTTTGTTGATTCTAATTAGAGTTACATGCTATAGTTTCAAAGTAAATATTTATGAAAGTGTAATGCATGTAATAACTTTTGTAATGTAGACTCTGATGAATGAAAACATAACATTTCTCTTATATTCGTTGACCTTATGGAGGATCGATTCATGTCATATTTTAAGGGCGTTACAAATACATATTTCTAGAAGTTTTGCAAATGAAAGACCCCGCTCGAGCATGAGATTGGACACTCGAGCGTCCAATGCGCTTTCCCAGTATTTCAGAACTGCAAAAGTGCTGAGAATTGATAAATCTCACTCGAGCGCAAGAATGCCCACTTAAGCGAATGAGCAAAATGCGTGAAGCCCGCTCGAGCGGAAAAGTCAAAATCTGGGCAACAAAGGTTTGGAAAAACAAGAAACCAACTAGTCTCAAACGCACAACTACAACCCGAAAACCAAAATAAAGGGGAAGACAAGGAAAAGAGATATAAATAACTATTCAAAATCATACCAACCTAAGTCCGGAATACAATAAGTAACGGGTCAAAACTGAAATCGCTATACTAAGTGAGTAAACAAAGCTATCCATGGCACAGTTGGAAGTAGCACTGATTGTCTATCAAAATATGAGAAATACTACAAATCCCTAGTGAATGACAAGAAACAACCGAATGATGCCACCTAAGCAAATGGGTCCCAGTTGTATGGGGATTGTTCTCTCTCACCTGGCAAACTGGTAAAAGCAAAGGAAGTAAATGCTGATGTTTACTCTTTTAATAAATAATCATTTTCCTGAAACATTTTTTTTTCGCATTAAAAATGAAGCACTTTTTTTTTTTTAAAGTATTAAACAGTATACATTTATAAATGGCAGAAAAATTAAAAAAATCACTACAAAAAAATTAATTTTTCTCTTTATTTTTTTACATGTGTTTTTGCAAAAACTAAAAAATCAATAAAAGTTGATTATTAAAACAACAAATTGAGAGTAAGATTAAACGTTAGACCTATTAAAGAGAACTTTTACTATTTGAGTGACACACAATATATAATAAATATTTTATTTTATTCTACTTATTTAAATTATACATACATAAATCGCTATTAATAAATAATTTACTTCACCTTTTGATATCTGTCTAATTTTAAAAAAGATATCATTAATTGGATTAAATTAGCAATTAGAGTTACAAAGATCATATTGATCCAACAAACAAATTACACACAATTTTACTAATTTTCTTTTATAAGTTAGATTTCATGAATTAATATTTATTGAATGAAATTAGTCATAAAAATCTTTAATTCGAACTAAATCGTATTTCCCACTTTTTTATAAATAAAATTTTATTATTTATTTATTAGAGTAAATGTGCACCTCTATCAATAAGGGAAGGATGATACAGATACATTAGTCATATTTTTTAGTTTGGCAAGTTTGGAAAGTTATAATAATAGCTAAAAAGTCAAAAAAAATTATTTAAATATCTAAAAAATCAAATAATTATATAAAAAAAAGTCTATATTTTTTTTTTATTTTTTTGCACATTTTTTTGTAAGCAAGAAATATTTTAAATATATTAATTTTTTTCACGGCCTATTTTAATTAAAAAGTCAAAAATTTACTAAAATAGCCTATTTTCAAATCTATTTTTTGCACATTTTTTTGTAAGCAAGAAATATTTTAAATATATTAATTTTTTTCACGGCCTATTTTAATTAAAAAGTCAAAAATTTACTAAAATAGCCTATTTTCAAATCAAGGGTTGTTTTAAGAATTAACTTTTTAGTGTCTTTTAGTTCTTTAAAAAAAAAAAAGTGCAAAAAAATAAAGGGAGATGCACCAATAAATCCCAAATTAATAACTTATGCACTGTTTAGTCCTAAAAGTTTTCTTATAGACTGAAAGGTCCCATTACAATGTTAATAACATCAGAGTCATGTTACAAACATTGGATTTCAAACATCTAATGTTCATCAAATTTCAATAATGTTTGAAAATATAGGATGAAAAACATCTAATGTTCATCAGATTTCAATAAATTTTGAAATTATAGAATGAAACATCAGATCATTTACATCATTCACATCATGTTGATGTAAAAATGGGACTAAATGGAGCATAAGAAAACTTTTAGGACTAAATGGTTCAACGTTTCAAAAACTAGGATTTATGGGTAAATTTTCCAAAAATAAAAAGAAAAATTATTTTTTAAAAATAATTTTTTAACTTTTAAACTAAAATTTCATATATATTATCAAAATAAACCTAAATGAAAGTATATTAGATATTTAAATAACTACTAAAAATAAAAAAAATAAAAAATTCCATGTTACCAAAATAAACCTAAATGAGTAGATTAGAAATTCATACATGTACTGTTTAAAAAAAATTCATTTTAATGCAAAATAAATAAACAAATAAATTAATTAACTAAACGTTGTAGGCAAAAAAAAAAAAAAAAGAGTAAGAAGTAAACACCCTATGTGGCCGCATTGTCCTTAGTTTTTCAGATTTGTAAGGTGAGAGCACTTACAAGTGGGACCCAGCTGTTTAGGTGGTATTAGTCGGTCGTTTCTTCAGTAAGGATATGTAACATTTGTCTAAAAATATATGTAGCCATTTTTTTAAGTCTTCATATCAGATTAGGCAACATCTTGTCTCCATTGTAATGGCTAACACAAGCTGGCATCCTGTCCCGTCGTACGTGTATATGATAGTCTACAAGTCTATATGACTAACAATGGTCTTGACTATCAGCTGATACAATATATATCAATTTTTTAGTTAGTATTTTTTTTTTTTTTTATCAACGAAAGTCAGTAATTAATTATTAAATTAAAATTTAGAGAGTTAAAAATCACACCTATATATCTTGTAAACAAATTTTGTTCTCCGATTCTATTTTTAAGAGTGGAACCCAAGATCTCTCCCTTGGGAAAGACTTGGTGGCCAAAAGGCTAACCAACTAGGCTTGAGGCCCTTAACTTTTTAGCTAGTCTCTTTATATTGATATATTTCGATAGATTGATAAGAATGAAATTTGTTTGTGTATTAGCCAATTCTATTGCTATAGAATTCTTGTTTGGATTTCATAGTGTTGAAAAATTCATGATCGCATCATCTTATCAACTCCCCATTCGTATCGTTTGATAATTTAAATATTACTCCACCTTTTTATCTCCTAATAATATTGTTGTTTAAAACATTGCCAACAATATTTTCTTAATTATTGTAATGCATTTGATTGCTGTAAAAGTATTTTTCAGGACTCATATTTTGAAAAAATTCACCAGTACATCACCCAATCAAACTCCCCATCCATACCCCTTGATATTTTTGATACCACTACACCTTGATCAATATTGATTCCTTACCTTATTTAAAACCTTTCAAAATTATTATCCTAATCACTGTAATATGTTCGACTGCTATAAAACTCTTTTTAAGGACTAACAATATTTTAAAAAAAATTACAACCTCAACACCCGAACAAACTCTCAACCTATATTGCTTGATATTTTCTCATATCGCTACAACTCAACCAATCTTGATTCATCTCTTGATACACCATTATTTAAAACAATGCTGACAACATTATATTAACCACTGCAATGGCCCTCTCTCTCTTGGAAGGTTCCTTTGAACCTATTTGGTCCCCTTGACTGTTGCCAATTACAGCAAGTCCGTACAAGGAAGGATACTTCATGGTCCTTTCCCTCAAGATCTCAGATCTAAAACATACTAATAAACTGTCATTGACCATAGCCCTACAACCCTCTTCACAGTTCATCATCGCACAACCTCTGCATCTTTTTCAGCCATGTCACCCCCAAATTTCGACGCTCACAGAGACTTACACGACTCGGCTAACAATCTCCTTCACTCACCAATCATCCAACACGGTCTCGTTCACGATAAACAAGAGAAATTTGTTCATGAAGTCTCAGAAGCATCTCTAAGAATGTTAGACGTGTGTGGAACCACTAAAGACGTTCTTTCACTGGTCAAAGATCATCTCCAAGACTTTCAATCAACGTTTCGCAGAATACCCATTGGCAAAACAGAAATCGAAAACAAGTTTGCGGATTACAATCCCCATAGAAAGAAATTGAAGAAAGAAATGTTAAAGCGAATGCGCTTGCTGAAAGGCATGAAAAACAACAAGTGTATGATGAATGCAAACCTCTCATCTGTAGATCGAAACCTTATTGCTGTTGTCGATGTGTTCAGAGAAGTAAAAGTTGTTGTTCAAAATTGTGAAATTAAATAAATAGATTTATGAAGAAAAAACAAATTATATACTAAGAACATATGCTGATAATTACAACTAAATTTCAACAGAAATACACAAAAAAAAATAAAGGGTAAAGAAATAAAACCGAAGCCTGCACGGAAGCAGTTTCGTTAAAACAGATTTCGCCGCCTCACGGGTCAAGTGCTTGAGGAAACCCGGCGTCTGTCTCCCAGGACACGACGGTCAAAACCAGCTACGGCAGAAGCACTATCTGTCTAGCTTAGCGAACAAAACAATGGCAGCACTCTCTCACAATAGGAACTATCAAGCAAACTGACTTGTAAAATGGAAGGAAAAATTTCTATATTGAAACTTGACAGGAGGGTCTCAATTTATACATGTATAGGGGAGAGAGGAAAAGCCTCCAGCCTTTAAGGCTAGTCATTAAAACACCAAGCATCCATAGCCCATTTCCACAAAATGAAAAGTATGGATGCCCAAAGGATTCACACCCTTTAGCCAAGAAAAAAGATTTAAATATTCTTTAAAATCCTATTCATGAATCTAACATCATGAAGCAATTTCTTGACAATTTCTTATTCAAAACCCAATAGTTTTTGGCTGACTTGGACCCAACACAAAAAATGGTTAGGACCCTCTTTAATATTTAATTAAAGTCACCACACTTTAATATTAAATTAAAGTCTCCAAAAATCATTTTTTCCAACAATCCCCCACATGAATAAAATAAACTTTGAAATTTATAATCCACCTTCGAAACCACTCCGTTCCGCCATAATTAGTACATATAATTTTTTTTTAAACTTTTAATTAAATATCAAAGTAAAAAATTAGTAAAATGTACGCTTTGTTATAAATTAGTACTTATACATATGAAAAATATTATGTAAAAATAGTTTGTGTTATGTATATGAAAATATTATGCAAATTAAGGGTTGGTTTGGGGTGTCCTAAAAAAGTGCACTTTTTGTCTTTTTACGAAAAGATGTGCAGAAAAGTAGAGAGGTGATGTGATGGAAAAAAGATAAAAAGATGGATTATATAGTAGATGCCAAACCAAGCCTCAAAATGTGTGTTTATAATTTATTCAATTCTTAAAATAGACCGACTAATATTAAATAGTTGAAATAACTCAATTGCTACATCACTTTGTGAACTAAATTTATTTATTTTTTTAAAAAGAACACTTTATTTATATAACATTACTTCCTTTGTGCCAAAATATTGATCCCTTATTCCATTTTTCATTATCACAAAATATTAGTCAATTTTCAAAAATAAAGGACAAAAATAATAAAAAAAAAATTTTTGCCCTTCTTTTAAACTCATTAACATTAATATTTTTGGAGTATAATAATTGTACTATCAAATGGTAGTTTTGGAAAGTTAACATATTTTTGAAGTGTAATAATTGTATTATAAAAAAAAATTAGATTCCCCAAAATGAACTAATATTTTGAGCCCGAGAGAGTACTATTTTTGCAAAATATAAAGGGTAAATTATAGGGATTTTTTTTTTTTTTTTTTTGTTTAGAAGAAAAAGGACAACATGATTTATTTTAATTTTCCAAGTCTTTTAAATAAACGGTAAAATATTTTTGACTAAAGTACCCTCATTCTAACTGTAAGATTTCAAATGACGTGCTTCATTTCTTTAAATTGTTTGAAATTTTTTAAATTCAATAACTTTTCCTTTTGATTTATGTTTTTAATAAAATTTATATTTTCTGGATTGTCTCATTAAGATCCATAAAATAAGATCCATATTGACTATGAAATTTCTTAAAAAAAAATATTGACAAAATTTCACTAAGTTTGTTGTTACCAAACAGTAAAACTTCACTGAATTCATTGTTACCAAACAATAAAATTTTCTCTACTAAAATACAGAGAAAATTTTCTTTTCACAGTGAAATTTCTATTTCTAAAATAATAAAATTCTTAAATGAGAATTAACCATTGGAAAAAGGAGAAATTACCGGTAAATCCCAAATTAAGGAATGATGATCCATTTAGTCTTGTGTTTTTTCTTATGAACCATTTGGTCCTATTTAATTAGTATGTAATATTTACCCTTATTATGATTTTGGGCGATTCTTTTTTGCTCATTTGTGTGTAATGATTGAAATGGTAACATTTTACATTTCCATTTTTGTGTGTTTGATTTTTGTAGAGTGATATATGGTGGATGGGTTTCAATTGCTAATGTTGTTCTCTTGTAACATAAGAATCAATTTTTTTTTTTTTTTCTGGGAAACATCACGACATACCACATTACGATGTGTCCAACATAAATCACAAATATTACGAAATGAAATATCATACTGCAAGACACACACTTATAGTACACAACATATTTCCACATTGAACATATTGATACGATACACGGGAAACTTAACTACGTACCCGCCGATCTCACTTTAAAACGAACATGCACAACCAATGTCAGGACGCAAAACCCCATTGCTTGCATTGGATGGATGATGCTAACAACACCCACACGTATAAATTACCACAACAACAGAATGCATATTCTACATCCAAACAGGGCATTATTCCTACTAGCAAGCTCATCCAAACAGGGCATTATTTGGATGTCCTAGCCCTTTTACTCCGTCTGGGCTCATCTAAAATCTCAATTTGATCATCACCTGGATCATCAACATGATCATCCTCACTAGCAAGCTCCTCAAATTGCTCCAAAGACCTTGGAACCCTGCATGGGTTCGGCAAGGAAAAATGTCTTCAAAGAAACATGCATTCCTTGACTCCATGATGGTATTCCTGTGTATATCTGGAATTTCAGACTTATGAACAAGAAACCGATATGCACTACTATTATGTGCATAACCAATGAATATAGAATCCACAGATTTCGGGCCTATCCTAACCTGTTTGGGTGTAAGAATCGCCACTTTTGCAAGACACCCCCACATTCGTAAGAATTTATACGAAGGCTTAACGCCTTTCCATAACTCATACGGCGTCTTGTCCACCTTCTTCTAGGGTACTTTATTCAGAATGTAATTTGCAGAGAGAATTGCTTCCCCCCACAAGTTCTGTGGCAATCCACATTGCATTCATCATTTCCTTTAGCGTCATATTCTTCCGCTCAGCAATCCCATTAGACTGAGGAGAAAAAGGCGCCGTGGTTTGGTGGATAATCCCAGATTGAGCACAAGTCTCAATAAACGGAGATTTATACTCACCACCACGATCACTTCTTAGAGCCTTAATCTTGCGGCCTACTTGATTCTCAACTTCATTCTTATAAAGAACAAACTTGTCAATCACCTCATCTTTGCTTTTGAGCAAATAGACATAACAATACTTAGTGAAATCATCAACAAAAGTAATGAAGTACTTATTGCCACCACGTGATTGCATAAATTTTAAGTCACACACATCACTATGCACTAAAATAAAATCAAATCCTTGTCAATTTTGCTTCTACACAAGTTTCACACTTGTGTTTCGGATTAATCTTAAAAGATGGTATGTGATCTAACTTGATTAATCTACGTAAAGATTCAAAGTTCACATGTCCTAGTCTACCATGCCACAAATTGGAAGACTCAAGCATGTAAACAGAAGAAGATGCACCTTTATTCATCTTTGGGATGACAGTCATAACATTGAGTTTAAACATATCCCCCAACATATAACCCTTACCTACATACATTCCTCTTTTGGTAAGGATGACCTTGTCGGACTCAAAAACCATGCGAAAATCATGTTTACTAAGAAGAGACTCTGAGACAAGATTTTTACGAATGTCTGGAACATACAGGACTTCGTTCAAGGTCAGCTCCTTTCCTGACGTCAACTTCAGGACCAACTTTCCTTTCCACTCAACAATCGAGGTAGCAGAGTTTCCCATAAACAACTTCTCACCGTTTGTAACCGGTTCGAAAGTTATAAACAGTTTCTGCTCGGAGCAGATGTGGCATGTAGCCCCAGTATCAATCCACCATTCTCTTGGGTTTGAACCCACCTGATTCACCTCAGGGACAACGGCAGACAAGTGCATATCATCCTCCTCATGGGAGTGCTCTTGTAAGTCTGCCATATGAGCACGAGGTTTGGTCTTGTATGGCTTCTTCTGCTTGCGGCAGTCACTAGCCCGATGCCCATCGTTACCACAGTTATAACACTTCCCAAAAAACCGATAACCAGGTTCCTGTGGCTTGTAAGCCGACTTCTTTGCAACACAACCCCTTGGCCCCAGCTTAGAGCTCTTGTTCACAGGGGGCTTCTTCCTTATCCCAGAAGATTTGCCATGCTCAACGACATTGGCCTTTACTGAGGAGGTACTCCCTCCTTTCTTTCTATTATCCTCTTCAATCCGGAGTCGGACAACCAGCTCTTCAACAGACATTTCCTTGCGCTTGTGCTTTAAGTAATTCTTGAAATTCTTCCAACCATTAGAAAGTTTCTCAATGATCACAGCAACTTGGAATGACTCGTTCAAAGGCATCCCCTCAGCATGAATTTCATGCAAGATCACTTGGAACTCCTGGACTTGGCTTATCACAGTTTTAGAATCTACCATTTTAAAATCAAGGAAACGGCCAACCACAAATTTCTTTGCCCCGGCATCCTCAGTCCTGTACTTTTTGTCCAGAGATTCCTATAATTCTTTTGCTGAGCTCTTGGAACAAAACACACTATAGAGTGAGTCTGCCAAGCTGTTGAACACATAGTTCCGGCAAAGATAGTCTGTCTGCTTCCATGTGTCAAACGCCATGACTTTCTGTCTGTCAGGCTCATTCTCTGCCACGGCTGGAGGATCCTCACTCAGAATCTTGGCAAGGTTTAGCGTGGTCAAGTAAAACAGCATCTTTTGCTGCCATTTCTTAAAGTTTTTCCTAGCAAATTTTTCTGGGCGCTCATGGTGACTAAGGTCCTCTCGGAATAGCCGGAGTAACACCAGGGTTGACCACAGAGGTCACAACAGTAGGGGTTGGCAATCCAGTTGCCCCGGGGTTCAAATCCCCACCAACATTAGCAGTAGCAGCATCAGTGATAGTTGCCATTTTCGAAAATTACACCAGAATATCACTTCTGTGTTTCCAGAAATTAAACTTAACCCTTAGAAAATCCCTTAAAAGAAAAATTAATTCAAAAATTAGTCTCACCACAAAACCAAGAATCGAACATGGTCAAGAAAGTTCCCAGGAAGACTGGAGAGGTCACATCGGTCCCACTTAAAACCCAGTTAACCTTTTGACAAAACTTTTAAGAGCATGTTGACTCCTAGTCCGTGATAAACAAATTAAGAATTAAATTTTCTTAGGGATGAACTAGGTTAAAGCAAACCAGGGTCCAAAACTTTTACAAGCAATGTAAAACCATTTTGCATTTGTAATTTATTTGGAATAAATGCATAATAGTACTCCCTGATCTTCATACAGAAAAAAGAATAACACGAATTCAGCAAGTCTCAAGTTTCCTCTGTTTGATTCAGTAATCCAAATAAGCAAACCCTCAGTGCATAAAAGTGGATCAATGGCTCGTGATAGAACTCCTCACACAGCTAAGATGCAGTGTTAAGCAAATTTTAGTTTTTCATCCTCCAAAGTATTAAGTCACAAATGGGTCAATGGAATGAATGTTTCCTTCCTTCCATCTATTTAACGAGCGCTCACAAAAAAAGAAAAAAGAAAAAGAAGAAGATAAACATAAAAGAAATGTGATTTCCACCAAAACATAGAAAGGAGTCAGTATAATCAGTTCTAATAAGCAGCCAAATCAACTTCCAGTTCATGCCTCTCCAGTCCATCAAGTAGAACCTTTTAGTACTTATGTCTCGTTGATTATGGCCATACAGTTGTGCTGGAGCTTTAAAAAAAAAAATGGCGAGATTAATTCAGCCATTCTGGGATGAATTTTACATTATTGAAGCTGGCCATTAGTCAATAAAAAGTGGCTGTCTGTTCTTTTATTTTGCACATGAAATTCAATCATGACAAATTAAATGCATGCATGAACATCCCATTGGCATGCATTATGAAGTGCTCCACTGCGTATTATGAGGCATTTGAAGAATAAATTAATCTCTCCATTGCAATTGAAAAAAGTCACAACTCATTTCTAAGGCAAAAACAGGAGCACATGAAACAAATCAAATGAAATGATGAACTCAAATCTAGAGAAATCTACACAAATCACCTATGCTTGTTCTTATGACATCTTATTACACGTCTCAGGCTGTATTTTCATTATCACATTCACCAATTGAGGGAGATAGAAAAAAAACACCAATTGTCTTGGGTGGTAAACTTCAGGCTTTCTAAAGACATAATTTTGGTGTTATTAAAGATCTAGCTTCTAGGTCACATCACATTCACCAATTGAGGGAGATAGACTCCTACTGCAATTACTTGCATATTACTGACTTTCACGGTAACAATATCCTGAAAAGTAACCCACAGAACCATGACACGGAGAATATGTGAATGCTAGTATAATTAACCAATAACACCAGTAATCAATCCCTTGCTTGAATACGGATGTTCCAACAAACATGCACATATTAACACAATAACATGTTCAAGGAGGTGAAAAAAAAATTACTTCAAGCATCTCAAGAAACAAGATCCACTGTTGTGCTCATAGTGATAACGACAACACTTCTCTCTCTCTCTCTCTTGTAATCTTATCTTTATCTTATCATCCTCATCATCTATCCATCCCTTATTACCTTTTACTTACTGCCTGCCTCTACCTATGCACTTATCTGTGTATACAGTAAAAACTTACTGTAGGATGTGTTGATGTGAAATTCTAAATTTCTAATACTAATTACTACTCTGCTCAGTTCTAGAAATGGCACCTAATACTCCACTGTAGTCTTTGTTGTGCACTCATGTAAATTCTGCAATAATGCTATAATCATACATATATATTTTTATGACAGGACTCACTGTTGTTGAGTATAAATTCTGCAATAATGCTATGATCATACATATGTAAATTCTGCAATTATGATCATACATATATAAGAAGAGCAATCTCTAGAACAAAACATAATAAAACAAAACACAGGGGATGAAAAGAGCAATCTCTTGACCCATTCATCAAAAAACTGCAGTAGATAAATTAGGGGAAAGCACATTGACAACATGTCAACATCCACTAACATAAGGCACATTGAAATATAATCTCAACAAGTTAAAATGCATGTAAATATGGCTTCAATTGAAA